TGAGCCGATGATAGATTAAATAATGTCCCCTCGGAACGAATTACGAAGAGAAACTGTCTGAAAGACGCTGCCAGAGAAACTCACATATTCAACTCGCCAAATCTCACCGGGATTAACCCTTTCAATTTTGATTTCTGGTTAAACATAATCAACATACAAACTTGTATCATTCGATGACATATAATTTTAAATATTTCCTTTTGTTTTAAATACACAGAAGAAGCGAGAGACATTGATTCTGAAGAATTCTGGCATAATTTCAGGAAAGTACCAATTTCAAAACATTTCAGAATAAAAGTCAGAGTAACGTACATTTGACATGTAACAAGTTACAGTTATAAATATTATGCATACGCTATTCATAAGATAGTATGATATATTAGATCTCTGACTGAATACAATTCTGCAGTATGTTATTCTAAAAGATATTAAAATAATATGTAAAACTTTGTCTGGGACATACAATCAATCGCAAAATTAGCGTAGTTACCTGTTAAAAATCACCATATGTTAGAAGTGTATTACAAGATCAATCTTTATTTTATATACTATAATTTCTTGTATTCTATATTTACAATAAACATATCAGATTCTAAACTAATCCTTACAATCCGTTATACCTAATTGAGAGTTAACCTATTAAAATGACACTGATTAAGAGTTAACCGATTAAAAACCAACGTAACATTTCGTTTCGAACTTCTTCGGAATCAAACTCTATCTTTTAATGTTATCTTTGATATTGATAGTGAAAGAACATTCCAAGAATTCGTTTAATATTTTCTTCGTCATTGTGTGCTCTCCAGCTAAAAAAATTCGTGAAATTAAATTAAGAATTTAAATTAAGGAGAAATTCAAAGTTTGAAATATTGTGATAAACTATAGCTTGGTACTTAATATGGCCTTTTTTTACAAGTGACAGTTTCCTTTCGTTTAATGAAAAACATGCCTAGATCACCGGAAATCAGTCACAGTTGTTCGAAATAAAGACGATCGATCCATAGCAAGTCCGATTCAGTCTGAGAAAGAAAGAACAAGAAAGAAACAAAGAGCATAAAACGAAACGTAATTGAACTGAGAGCGTGTAAGTGTAAAAGAAGAGCAAACTGCCTTTCGCACCTCGGTACTGGATTGTTTCTCTGATACGTACGTAATTTTAGAACTTGGCACAATTTGATTTTATTTTCATTCAGACCAGTACGTCGCGGCCAGCTTCTTGACACTGATTGTGAGTTCCCGGCTGTATCCCAGACAACGTGTCTCGATTGAAATTTTACCATCTGTTGCTCTCTACCGTAAGAAAAACGGTATGGAAACATTTGTTGGAAAATCACGAAGTTTGTGAAGGAAACGAAAACATTGGATCGCGAAGATTGGCAAACAACGTCGAATATTTCGACGAAAGAATAACAAATTTGCGTGCACCGTTCAAATAATCATTACGTCAGAAACAATATCCGTGAAATATTATTATTATTATTATTATTATTATTATTATTATTATTATTATTATTATTATTAAAGCATTTTAAGCCTTCACGTTAGTTCTATTATTGAGGTTCTCCGTATATTTGCGCAAAAATTCTAAAATACGAAATTGCACAGAATGTACGTAATGTGAAAAAATATACAAACTATAGTAAAACACCGACAACGTGCTTTTCATTGGGTGGCCAAATAATTTTTATAACGGCAACAGTTTCAGAGAAAACGATCCAAAAGTAATATATAAAATAAATGAAGTAAATGTAAAAAAAAAGGTACAGAATTAATTTTTACAACCTAATGTTTAAAATAATTATGCATTAGTTTATTTGATCACGAAAATGATTTCTTTTCAAATTATTTCTTTATTCGACCATCAAACGATATAACTTTTCATTTTATTTTCTATCTTGTATTTGAACAAATTTTTATTTCCTGTACTTGTTTATTTTATTTGAATGATCGAATTAAATAAGTAATTATTTAGAAATGATTTATTTGACTCTCACGCTACCTACGCTAAATAAAGTTATTTCCTCTATATCATTTATCTACATAACGATAATTAGTTGAAATAATTCATTCATATTTAACGAATCATTATACAATTTCGTAATTCGCTATTCTGAACTGTTATTTTCCATTTTAAGTTACTCTTCCAAAATTAATATTAATTTACATGAAAATCCGTGGATTTCTAGAATTGAAAAACTCTTTAAAAGATTACGCAGACAATCAAACTTCCTGCTCAATGCAATTAATTTATCGTACAGATATTATTAATTCGTTGCACAATCCTCGATTCATATTAACACTTTCGAACTCTCAACAACTTTTGCAATCGCCCAAAGCACGTTCCATTCAAATAACCACGACGTGAGAAGCAATATACGCAAAAGAGGTAGGAACAACGATAGTCAAAGAGGTATTCTCGGTTATTCCCCTTCCCTGCAATTTTATTCTCGAGACCCATTTCCAGGGGAGATAGAATAACTAGCGTCCACACTCTTGTCGAAAGCTCGCTGTTTGATAAACCAACGAGCCAGATTGTAAGAGAACTGGCGTTATTTCGATAAACCAGGCGCGCGTACGATCGAAACAACCCAGCATGAACTGGTTTACAATGTAAAGGTGCGTCCAGATTTGTTGATATATGTACCTCGCGTTACCGTTACCTACTATGTCATAATGTTACAGTACATAGACATAAATAGTGTTTTATTACTGCATCGTATTAAAGTAAAAAGTAAATAAAGTTACTTGTTTCGGCAACTATGAATGTCGATAAAGTGGCTCCCTTTAGTTTGACCCTTTTACTACCACTGATATAATATTACTATATATATATAATAATATAATATTATATATATAATTATAATATATTATACATATAATATTATAATGTAATATATATAATATGAAAATTGCCAAGGGCCAATTTATGGTTAAATGTTCTTTATAAAATTTCTAAAAGTATCAAATCGACTCTAGCTGTTTTCCACGTGTTTCAGGTTGGGTTAAGATACACAAAACTGGACGAAAACCAGTACACGATTTTACGTAATATGTCAGCACACTGCTTGCTACACGCTGATCGTTATCAAGGGACTGATTAATGATCAACATCGAATTCGGGATACTGATCATTATCAATGGATATTACAGATAATCAGATAATTAGTAATTACTGATTAAGGGAAGTTATCAAAGTCATTATGATCGAAGGTTACAACTACAATTACAATTATTAATCAAAATTTAATATAATATTTGTATAGATATATGATCAATTATTAATCACAAAATGATTATTATTGTTTACCTTTAACAACAACACTGTGTATATTTTGTAGAAACTATATATTTCCGTACTGTTGTGCGTAAACCTACAATTTTATCAGAATTTCTTGAAAATATTCGAAAGTCTCGTCTGTGTAATTTTCGGCACTTTCCGTATAACTTGACGAAGATAAACTTCAATGTCAAATGACCAAAATTTTGAGATTCCTAATTGTGATATACGCACTCATTCTTATCTCAACAATATATCAGAGAATTTTTCACAGAGAAATATACCAGAAAACTTTAACAAATTATTGTGAATTCAACGATACGAATGCTCTTTGTCCTATATTTGTGGTTTTGCTACATAAATGGCGCTCTTAGCGCTATCCTTTGGACGAGCGTTACAATGCACTTAGCATGACAATCCTGATTCTCAATCTGTTCAATTGAAACGCGATAAACTAATTCTGACGACGTTAACGTAATGTTGGTATCGACATAAACAAATATAAAAACGGTTCTGCGGTTGAATCTCGTTGGTACACAAGTGTGAACGTACCTTAACGCTTTCCACCGCGATATCAAGACGAACGTGCGTGACACGTGTGCCCGGTGATAATTATCAACAACGACAGTAATCCAATGAATTAATGCGCGCTCCAAATGCGAATTAATAAACCACCAAACTGAAATTCCATGTTTTAGGAGGATTTGTTCGTCCTAATATTTAGTTACGTCGACGATTATTAATTATTGTTGCATTTCAACGTTGGGTGATACGATTAGATTATGAGATAAAAGGAGCTCGAGGTTCCTCAAGATATAATAGGATCACCATTCTATTTGTAGATCGACGATGCAGTAAATTTGGATATTTCTCAGTTACACACTGAGTGATTTATAGATCTTTGGCTTTCTTGGATCGTCGTGGAATTTTGGACAGATAGGCTGCATCGATGGATACAGAAATGTGCAGAATATACGGAATATGCAAAATTATCTCATAATTTAGAATGTACGAAGTATTTTCTAACGTGGGATAAAATAACTGATTTAATAAGTGAGACAAATTCCTACGCAGTTGGATTTTATTAGATTCTTACACGGTTATATATATATATATATAATTATTCAGACTCAAATAATGTTTATTAGATGTCGATTTGAAGCTCGAATTTTATCTTCATTATGTATCTTTTTGTTTTATTTTTAATATTATTTTATTACAAAAATATAAATAAATTATGTATCAGATTATTGATTACAAAAATTGTAACAGGTTTCTGAAGAATCTGTCATTCAAATGAAAATGTAAACTACGAAATATATAAAGATTTTTTTTAATTGCAATAATATGAAAATAATAGGTTTCATTCGCTAGAATTCTTGATAAAACAAAATAATACATTTCTTAGATTCAGAAAAAGCTCTCTTTTACTGTTCTGTATTTTAAAATTAAAAACATTTTTCCATATACTCTGCAACGTGTACACAACAAAAGTTGTTCTGTTTTTTTTTTTTTTTTTTTTTAGACTTTGGAAAAGTTTGCTCTGTAAATGAAAAACCTGCAAACTACAGATTGAATGTTTGATGAAAAATTTTCTTCCACGTGCTTCCTAAAGCAGTTATTGAATAAAAATTATATTATTCTGTTCTTTAGAGTCTAGAAAAACTGTTTCCTGAAGTTACTGAATAAAAATTATGAATTAAATGTTTGACAAAAGACTCACTTTCACGGGAATGCAGAAGAGTATGAGGAGAAGATCGGCCGTTGCCAAACCACCCAGAAAGACGTTAGTTGGAGTCGCTGGTAAAGGTCTCAATCTTGGACACAACGTCGAACCAATGATGACGACGTTTCCTGAAATAAAATTATACATTACTGCACCGTTTCTATCAAAATTGTTTCTCACCAAAAATCATTCAACGTGGTTCTACAATCAATTCCTGTACATTTTACACTAATTAATTTATATCTTCATTTGACATATTTTCATATTTTTAATTAACTACATGTGCCATAGTTAATTTATACTAACTTGTAATCATTTATTTCCATCTTTATTTTTATTAAACTGCTACTTTTATTATCGACACTTGTCGACACCTTAGACTGCTTACAACTTCTTAACAAAAAATCGTAAAAAGCAATTAATTCTGTATTCTTTTTAAAGTAAGAACTTTCAACACACCTTTCACAGTACTGGAAATACTAAAAATACTTTTCTCTTGAAAATTTTGCAGATTCAAACGTCTTTGTAAACGTTAAAAAAATTTTTTCAACCAAATTCATCATGTTCTTGAAAATTGAAATCTCCTCCTCGTTCTTTAAAATTGTTTTTTCACAAAGTTAGTAAGAGTTTAAAGTATCGATAATTTTTCGTCAAATGCTTCTGGTTTACGGCTATTACTATACGTTTAATTATATTCAAATTTGAGACCCATATTTTACAAAACGGTATTTCATAATTATATTACACAATTACGATTTAGTTTTTAAATAATATAGCATGAAATATGTTTTTCTTTATCTAGCAGTTGTCGTATGAACAGCAATGACACAATGCAGGAAATGGATGATAAAATTAATCATTGTGTCGTAGCATTGAATAATTTTTTTCAACTAGTCCAAGCACCGGATATCTACGTATTAATGATGATAACAGTACAAACAATTCAATTCACCGTAATCAAACATTGCATTCAGTCAACAGATCGTTAATTGTAAATTAATTAAGTGGCAGTGGTTTTTCATCGATTTTCGTTTACAGAAGCCTGTTTCGATAACCGCAGAAACATTCTGCTAAATCAACTCGATTGATAATTTAGTGGCAGTTAAGAGTACATTGGTTTCCATCAATTTTCGTTTATATGAAGAAGCCTGTTCCTAACTCTTATCTTCTCAACTGATCAATTCGTTATGTGCAGGATTTTTCCAAATATACATATATATACGTGATGAAATAAAATACTTTGAAATGAAATTGTTTTGAAGATTCTTTTAATTTCTATATATATACACACTTCTTTTATTGGATATTTTATGAATTTTCATATTATGTGCATTCTGTGTAATTTCCTCCTCTTTAAATTTTCTACAAATGTATAAAAATTCTAAAAATTTCTAAAAATCTACTGACAACAATGAGTTATATCCTGATTATATACAGAATGTATCTTTATTATACGTAAATATCTTTTCACTTTAGATATGTTATACTATATTTTATAGTCTCACATATTACCTGCATTCTGCGTTTTAAATTTCCCACCTTTTAAATTTTCTACAAATCCACGAGCTATTGATAACAACGACTCATGCCCCTATTACACACAGAATGCCTGAATATCCAGATTAATCTAAATAAACCTGTGTCATTCATAAATTTCTAACTCCAAACATCTTTGCTATTCATAACAAATTTTGCTGTTCTAAGCTCTAAATTTCTAAACTTATACATCTTTGCTATTCACAAAAATGCGAAAAAAAAAATTTATAGGACAAAGTTATTTCAAGAAAAGTATATATTGATACATTCTTCACTTACAGATACTCTACGCTACACTACACTTTCGATATTTTGCATACGTGTATTCCGTGTAATTTCTATAAATATTTGCAATCATAGCCTCACCGATTAATCCAAGGAAAAACGTCAGCGAATAGACGACAAGAACTGGTCCAAGTTCCGCCCAGTCGAAGCGGCCGAACGACTCGTTCATATCATAATCGAGAAAATCGTCCGTGGCATTTGTCTTGTTCGACATGACTGCGATTAGCTTCTTGACAACGACACTTCACAGGCTGCGTCCACTTGTCGAGCGTTTTCCATCGTGCACGCTCTTAAAACAGTTTGTCCAACTTCGTTCGCTCGGTTTTCCTCGCATATCTTGCCATGATCCCGATCCTGAGGGAAGAGAAAACGTCGTGTTAATTCATTGGAATTTAATTGAAAATTAAATTTCGTGCAAGAGCCGAATTCCTCTTTTTTATACATTATCAAGAAATATTGCAATGTATTAAAAATGCAATTTGTTCTTGCACCAAAGCATTTGCAAGTTTTTGCTTTCAATCGTACTTTAGAATTTCGGGTCGCAATATTCCGTAAAAAATTTTGGATATAATGTTGCTTAATGAAAAGAATTTCTTTCATTAAACTATGGAAATATTTTCTATGTATATATTCTTTATTGTAATGTCAAATTATTAGCTATTATTATTATGTTGTGTTAACATTCCAATTTGAATCTAACTTTACTTATTTTTTATTTATTTTACATGTAGGTGTCACAATTGTTAATACATGTCTCTGATTCATATAGTGAACTTCTTTAAAAAATTGTTATTTCATTTCTTGAGCCAAAAAAAAAAAAGAATATCGAATAATTGCCAAATTTTGTATGTAATAAGTTAAATTAAATATATCATTCCAAGTTACGTTGCTACGATCGTTTTAAATTTTCGCGGCAGAAAGAAGCAAAGGCGATCGAGTGGCAAATTTTCAAGTTAGAAAACAAACAGTTAAAGCAATCTGTAGAAATAAACAACTGGATGCCTGAGAGAGACTAACTGCAACCGGAAACACTGGACTCGTGTCAGTTGAGCTACGAATGCCACAATCAGCAGTCTCTTTAAACACACAAACCGTGCTGTTATTTGTATGATATATAATGGCCACTGTGTGCACAAGTCGAGCCTAAATTGCCCATTATTCTCGAGCATGAGATTCCACTTTCGAAACTCGACGATGAGATTCTATATGTTAAATCGTTGCAGACAAACTGGCCCAATTCATTAATAAAACTTTTGGTATTTAGTTAATTTAGTTACATTTCTTAAAGATAATGTCGATGATTCACCAAATGTAATGTAAAATTTTCATCGTTGTAAAACAAGTTTGTACTCTGCTCTGGTGAGTCAAATTTTGATTAAAATAATATGAAACGTAATTTCCAAAACGAAAAAGTTACAATGCCAAAATGCATAATTAGATATTACAATACCAAACTGTACAAATAAATATTATAATACTAAATATTACGAGAGTTTCTCTGTACACTCAACGATTCTGACTTGTACTCCTTTATCTACCCACTACCTATTATCATAATTAACCTTCAGTTCGTTAGGTTATAGTAATTTATTTCAAGTAACTAAAATTTGGGACACTTGATTTCATTTTGTATTTAAGATTCTTCGTGACAGAGATTAGTAGAAAAATTCAGTCAACTAAAAAACGCTAAAATTAACTAATTTAAATATAAACTCTTATAGTCTCTCTCTGAAGTCTATCATAGTTAAAATCTTGTTATCAAAAAATCATCAATGTTAATAAACACTTTCTCAATTTAACTTTTCTTACATCAACGACACGATGTTTGTTCTCTTAAGATAGCTTAAGATAGCAAGCCAATATTTGTTTCAGTTTTAAATCAAAATTTTGAAACTTTTTCAAAAAAAGAAAAAAGCGTTGCATTTGAATATTAATTCGCACAATCTATCTTCCTGTCACAGAACAATCTTTAAACCGAACTAACATTATTTTATGTTACTACAGTCTGCAGAATTTCGCACGTTTGTAAAGTTGCATTATATTCCCCGAAAATTGAAATGCAACCGGAGATATTGAAAAATGCCGAAACATTTGCCAGACAATGAAGCCATCACATACTGACATAAATTTCTAAATTTCCAAAATTCAAATTCTCGCTTCTTATTTAGTTTTATACGTACCATGATTCGTTTTTCATAAATTTAAAAAATATAGTGACTTTCTTAAAATAAAGAAAAATACACTACTACCATAAATCCTTTAGTTACAGAAAGTTAATATATACTTTCAATATTATATTATATTAGTATAATTTAATATTAATTTAATTTAATATTATTATTAATTCTTCATGGCCAGAATAAAAAGAAGATTTACTCCAACTTTACTCCAAAATTAATAATTATTGTAAATAAGTGATTAGCATAATAAATATACAAAATGAAATTTTCAAAATGTAGATACGCGTAATTTGCAAAGTGACATAGGGGATTAAAAACACATTTCATTTCATTTCCAAGCAACAAAGCAAATTCAATGTATTTTAATAACAATAAACATATATAATAAAAAATACTTTCGTGAAAACAATATGAGTGAATGACATTCTGAAAAAATTCTGATCCATCAACGCGTATACACGTATTTGCCAATTTAAAAATTATAAAAAAATTACCAAATAATTGAAATTTTATAATCACTGGAAGATAATCCGTATTCTATGAGAATGAACGTATCACGAACTTATCGAGTCGAATTCTCTGGTTAGCCCTTATTTCTGAGAATAAAAAAAAGATGAAACGAACGAAGGTAAAGGCAGAAAACTCCGCTGTTCTTTCAGCTCGCTTTAAAAAAACTTGAAAAGGCTCGCGTGAACTTGTTTTTCAAGGTTATTCCCACGATATTAGGCGTTAGAACGCGAGCTTTTACTAAAACGGGCTCAACAGCTAAAATCAACAGAACGCGAAACGCATCGCGTTATACACAGCCGTGACCTCGTTCGCGGGCTTCATTAAATCCGATTGGCAATCGAGATTCGTTTCATCTCTCGGTCGTGAAAATTTCATTTCGACGCTCTGCGAAACTTCATCGAGTATTTAACTCGCCGAAAATAGTTTCGAAAACATCTGCCGCTGATGCACGAAAAATTCCTTTCCCTTTGTCCAATGGATAAAGTTCGAAGTGAAATTCAAAGAAACATTTACCACCATTGATATTCGTTGGAGCATTTAGAAGTGATTCGAAGCAAAAATTTGATTGAAAAAGTTTGATTCAGTTTGATTTTACGAAACAGATTGAGTTTGTTAAACATTCAACGTGTATAGCTTACTGATAATTCTCTTTTGGAAACATTCAGATTGTTGGTTGCAAAAAAAAAAAAGAAAAAAAGTAAAAAATATGTGAACAATTGAATAATAGTCACACACTCGAAATTTTTAACCTGAATTTTATTAGATCAAAATAATCTTTTCTATCGTCCGATTTAACTTTAGATTCTTTTCTTCATTCGCTGTATTTAATTTTATGACTGAAAACAGTATTCAAAACAAAACATAAATTGTTCCAAAACTGTGCTGATCGGCTTCATAAATTGAAAAGTAGAGAAGAAATGATGGCATGTGTTTATTTAAATTTACTTTAAAATTTACTACTGTTTTGTGTAAAAGTAGGTAGGTTTCTCTTTTCTTAATAATTGTAGATAAGTTCTTTAAAGAAATCTACATACATCTTTTAATATTTAATACAAATAAGAATGTCAGATATTTTATGGATGGAATTACCACATGTACAAGCTTGTTCTAAATTGATAATAATAATAATAATAACAAAAACACACTTTAATGTATTCGTGGTAATTGTGCAGTAGACGTTTCGTGATCCCTTGTTCCAATTTTTCAATTTATACTTCACAGCACACAATGTAACGAGAAACTACGAAACTTTTATTAATGAGAAACTTCACAACGCGAAACGTCAACTTTAATTAACAAAGTTAATCAATCAATCAATCACCGGTTACGAAAATTATTTCTCTTTAACCTCGTCTGGACCGCGTTGGTTCTCTGAAAGACTTGCAGACACGCACGCACGCTTTCACAACTAACTGTATATAATAAAACTAATAAACAGAAACACTCGCGAAAGCTCGGTTTGCGTACTTCAGTGTCTAAAAATGCTCGTAAAACGCCAACTACAATGAAACACGACGAAAACTTTCGGAACAGCCCCGAGGCGAAGGTGCTATACTAATTGTAAAAACACAATAAAACGAAAAATCTTTGGACACAGCGAGATTTAGGAGATTAAATTTCAAGATCGACGCGTTTTTTTTTCTCAAATTCGACCGAAACCACGGATATTTCATCCGTATCGCCGCTGACATTCATCATGGACATCGTACGTGCGTGTGTACCCCTTCCTTTGTATTTAAAAGTCAAACAATCGGTGTCAAACATGATTTTCTGCTCGATACACGGGCGAAAAGTGCCTCGACACGGTGTCAGACCGATTAATTTATCCAATGGCGCAGCTACCAATGGTTCCAATTTGTCAGTCACGACACATTCAACTTAAACCCCTTCTAGGTGTGCAATCATGGAATCGCACAGTGTACTCGTGGTTAGCACGCACCTAATTGGGCAGCAGCATCAATTTATCGATCTTCGATCCACGGAGGTCATCAGGGAATTAACAAGGAAATATAAACGGTCGTCAAGCGAAGATGGCCAAGGCAGTATGGTTTTGATAAGGGTTGTTTCGATTTGTTTGTTTGGGATTTGTTCGCGACTTACGTATGTTTCTAAAATTTTTTATTGGGATCCGAGTTGGGATCACAAGTTGATTGTAATTGAGTTGATAGAATGGAACATTATTTTAATTAATCGTGTTAATAATGTTACAGTGATACTTTGAATATTTTATGTAGATCATTTATTCTTAATTAATTCTATTAAAATTTATATTAAAGTATTTATATTTATATTTATATTTATATTATTATTTATATTTATATTTATATTTATATTATTATTTATATTTATATTTATATTTATATTTATATTTATATTTATATTTATATTATTATTTATATTTATATTTATATTTATATTTTTATTTATATTTATATTATTATTTATATTTATATTTATATTTATATTTATATTTATATTATTATTTATATTTATATTTATAAATTGTTAATACTTTAATAATATATTAATTATCATTAATATTTCATATAGACCATCTATTCTCAATTAATTCTATTCTTATTCTTAAAATCAGAATATTTCGTGCAAATGAATCGAAATAAATTTTAAATTGAATTTCTAGTATAGCAAAATAATAAAATTTAA